GGAAGAACCGCCTTTACTACGGGCCATGCATCCCCACCTCCAAGCCCGGACGTGCTCACTGGCCTTTGGAATACTGCCAGGCACCTGCCTGGAATCCTCCTTGAGATGGTCCTGCAGACTTTCAGCACCTGGAAGCCAGAGCACACAGGCTCCCCTCAAAGCCCAAATAGGAGGAAAGGGTTGTGGATATCAGAGGGACACGTCACGTTGTTCTGGGGCCACACCTTTGGTAACCCCTCCCTGGCCGGTGTCCCACTATCTGGGCTGCCTCTGCCCTGCCTGCGCAGGCTATTGGCTCCTCCTCGGGCTCCCTGCGCCTGGTCTGGGTCAGAGGGACCGGGTTCTGGTCGCAGGGCTGCAGCGTGACCTCCAGCTCCTCGCTGGAGAGTTGGGGACCACGACTGCTATCCTGATGAGGCCGCTGGCATGAACTGGGCCCTTCACTAATCTCTGCCACCCACGGTCTCACGGCCTGGCCGTTGCTCTGTCGTGGTGCGTGGGGCAGAGGTCTCTGTTGCAGCCCTTGCCCTGGGCCACACGCAAGCCCTTCGCCAAAGATCGTCCCTCATCCCGCTGTGCTTTCTTTCAGGAACTTCTAGCTTTCTGCCTGTGGCTTAGCGTTTGTTCGTTCTTCTTTGTTCTACCAGGGACCAGTCACCACTGTTGCCTTTTCAAGGACAGGGGAGTATTTCGCTTCCGGAGGCTCTGATGAACAAGTAAGTGCAGAGTGGCTAAGTCTGGGCAGATGCTGCTCGGAGCTGGCAGGAGGCTGAGTCCATCTCGGGGATGGGCCAGGGTCCACCAGCCTCCTTAATGGCTTTCCACAACCCCGGGGGCCCCCTTGGCCCTTGAAGTGGGGGCACTTGGATCCAGCCCCCTCACCCAGAGCTGGTCCCCCACCGGAGCTGACCTTCAGGAAACGTCTCAGAGCCCTCACTGCTCAAAGCGGTGTGGGTTGGAAAGCTGACTACTGTTGGCAGAAAAAAAGTTGTTTTCTAGACTTTTCCTGATCGTGAAGGAGCAGATAATGACTCTGGATCCTTGGTGCAGGTCTAGGAATACAGCCAGCGTGACAAGAACTTCATGCCGCTCGTAATTGTCATGACAGCCCTTTGGGCTCTCCCCCCATCCTGCAGATGAGGAAACTGAGTCCCAGCAGATGGCAGAGCTGGGGCAGGCACTGGGGACATCTGATTTCAGGGCCGTGCCCCTGCCCTGGGAGCCTCTGTTCTGTCACCTGCTGCCCTTTGCTGCCTGCCCCGCTGTTCGAGGGGCCACAGCCTTTTCAGCATCATGCTGCAGAGAGGAGCTTTGGGAGGAGGTCCTGTCTCCCCTCGCCACTCTGCTGAGTCTTCAACCTGTTGCCCTGGTGCCTCTTGCCTAGACCGTCAGACACCAACAGCCTTGCCCACGGGGTGCCCTGCCCCTGGAGCCTAGCCCAGAGCTGGCCTGGGGAGACCAGGAGCACCGAGTCCGCTGTGAGCCTCCCTCTCCAGTGTCCAGGCAGTGCCCCTCGCCGAGAGCTGCATTGCCTGCGGCAGGGAGAAAGACGTGGCTGTTTTGAGCCATGTTGACCTGGTGGATTGCCGAGAATGCTCTTCCCCTCGAGGCCAGGCTTGTGGCACTGACTGCTCACCCAGAGTAGCCCCATCACCCCACCTGAGCCCAGCCCCAGTGAGCTGTCCTGATTTGGGCTGAGTGCCTGTACGGCAGAGGGCGATTAGAGGCTTTGAGCACCGCCCCGATGGGGACAGCAGACACCTTCTCACACGAGCGTCAGCCCTGACACTGGCGGACCAGGGAAGAGGAAGGCAGAGGGGACCCCAGAGCCTCCATGGAACAGCGAGGTCTAGCTTGTTACCTGGAAGACAGGGATGCTGGTGTGGGCTTTTCATGCAGTAAATGGAGTCCTGGTGAAGTAAATTCACGCAGTGCTGGGGGCACAGTGGGAAGTGGAGCCCCACACCCGCCGGCCACTCCTCAGGCCTCCATTGAGTCAGCCCCAGACTGCCTTCTCAGTCAGCTCTGAGAGCTTTCTTGGAGTGACGTTCGGCATTCTCTCTTCACACTCACAGCAGCCACTCGACTCCTAGGAATTTGTTCGGCAGTCAGGCTTGCAAGGTTACCCGAGGACTCTGTAGACAAGGGTCGTCTGCCGGGACCGGAAAGCTGGGGCCTCTCTGAGAACGGTGAGGCTCGTGGCTGCCTCCTGGCAGGTGGCCTTGAGGACACGTCGAGTGTGCGCCTTGTGTGGATGTCATGGCTCTTCTGTGGTCTCAGTTGACCCCTGGCCTCCACGTCTGTTGGGAAGCCCAGGCCAGCCATCCTGAAGGTGGCCCTGGGAGCATGTGGTTGCCTGTGGCCAGCAGCCTTCAGCAAGGGGTGCTCTTGCTCCCCTTGACCGTCATCCAGGAGCCTGGGCCAGAGACCCTGTTTCTAGGAAGGCACTGAGTGGACGTGTTTCTTATGGTGGAGCTTAGCCACGGCAGAGCCGGTGTGGTGGCGCATGCACCCTGAGTGCCTATGTCCATGTTGCCATCTCCCACGAACCTCACGGCCGCCTGCGAGGTAGACGCTAGGATTGTCCCCCTTCAGGTGAGGAACCAAAGCAGGGGTTGGGTCCCTTGCCCAGAGCCACATAGTAAGGGGTGGAGACAGGGCCTCAACCCCAGTGGTCTAGCCTGAGGTCCACTGTGTGAGCCCCTCCTCCTGAACAGCAGGTAGGGCCCCCACACCCTGAGCTGGTTTTTCCTCGGAGAAATGAGTGATAAACAAGAAAAAGGGACAAATGGGTCAGATAACACCCAACTCTGATGCCGTGCAGGAAATAAATAGCAGACAGAGGCGACAGTTAGTAGGAGGCTAGAGAAGGCCTCTGAGGAGGTGGTGTTGGAGCAGACATCGCAGCTTGGAAGGAGCCAGCCTCATGGGGCTCAGGCCAACACCCCGCAGAAGGAGCAGCGAGTGCCTCTGTGGCGGTGGTGGTCCACAGTGCAGGGAGTGGCCTCTGGGCCCTCTTTCTCGGTGAAGGGCACCGACAAGTGTTCACTCCCCTGATCCTGTGTGTGTGCTGGTCTCGGCAGGTGATGGTCTGGAAGAGTAACTTCGATGTGGTTGACTACGGAGAAGTCATAAAAGCCCAGAGGCCCCCGCCCACGCTGCCCAGCTCTGCCAGGAATCTGGTAAGTGGCCTGGCAGGCGTGTCCTGAGCCTGCAGCACTGGTGGACGGGGTCACGGTGAGCAGCCCAGGCTTGGAGATGTGGTGGGCCGCAGCGTTAGGCGGTCACAGGAAAGGGACCCTGGAAAGATCTCATTTCCAACGGCCAAGGAATAGACAGACCGTGACTAGGTGGCAAAAGCCCACTGCCAGTGCCCGGCCCCTATGCCGTTTGGTGGGAGAGTGCTTCCATGGCACCTGCTGCAGGTTGATGGAGCCTCAGGAAATGAAGGACCTTTCCAGGACCCAAGTGTGGGGTTCCTAGAGGGCTCAGAGCCTGAGCCACAGCTGGGGCGCGTGGGAGAGGGCCTGGCCCTGTACTCTCGCTTCCCTTTCTAACCACGCAGAGAAGTTCCTCAGCCACACTTGAAACTGCTTGTCTCATTTGATTGTGAGAAAACAGACATCACTTTTACTGTGCTGCTGGTCCTTGAGTATCCAATTCAGCCACAGTAAGTAGAGTCTCGTTTTGGTGCAACTGTTGCTGTCTAGCTCCAGATCCTTTGCATCTTCCCAAACTGTGCAGAGCTGGGTTTTTCTTTTCTTTTTCTTTTTTGGAGAGATGTTTGCCATAGGGCAGGCGCACTTGCCAGAGAAACAGAGAGATGGAAAGTGAGAAGTCACCATCTCAGGGAATGGCCACACTGCAGTCCTTTTCCCATCCTCCTTTCAGATTTTGGGAATGCATGCACATGTCCCCAGGATGAGATTTTAAGTCTCCGAGACTGAGACTCGAACCCTAGTCTACTACATGGGAGTCCAGCGATGTAACCACTGTGTCATCTACTGGTCCCAGAGCTGGATTTTTTTTTTTTTTTTTGAGAGGTTTTCACTATAGGGCGCATGGGCTCACCAGACAGACAGAGACGTAGAGACAGAAAGCAAGAAATCACCCCCCAGAGGGAATGGTCAAATTGCAATCCCTTCTCTTCTATTCTCCTCTCAGGATCCTGGGCACGCTTGCACATGCGCCTGGCGTGAGTTTTAAGCCACCGGGTCCAGGACTTGAACCGCAGTCAACCACGTGGGAGTCCAGCGACATAGCCGTTATGCTAACTGCTGGTTTCCTGGATTTTTTATTTTATTTTTTTTTAAGAATTATTTAGGGGGTCAGGACCAGCAGTTGGTGTAATGGCTATGTCGCTAAACTTCCATGTGGTCGACTGCGGTTCAAGTCCTGGACCCAGTGGCTTAAACTCACACCAGGTGTGTGTGCATGTCAGAGCCTGAGCCACAGCTGGGGCGCGTGGGAGAGGGCCTGGCCCTGTACTCTCGCTTCCCTTTCTAACCACGCAGAGAAGTTCCTCAGCCACGAGCCAATTTTAGACTGTTGTTGGTAAAAGGGCATTCAACGTTCCTGGACTAAAAGTGGTATGTCTTTTTTGATGAACATCCAGAGGGGGGATTAAAAACTGACCTAGTCTCATTAAATAAGATCATATTCAGTTTTGGTTACCATCAATGTGAAGGCCAAAGGTATGGAACCCACGGTGTGAAGCCCCCGTGGCCACAGGCCGTGTACACCTTCCCCCAGGCTTAGAGGCAGCGCATCCTCCCTACAAGGAAACCGGCCCGGACAGCAGGAAGTGACTTGCCAAGGCCCCGGCGAGTCGCGCTGGGTCCCAGTAGAGAGCCAGGAAGCCTGCTGAGTCCATGCTGGGGCTCTCTGGGCTCCAGTGGATAGACCTCCTCCTTCTCTACCACCCCCTATTCTGAGTGCTGGGAATGTCCCTGGAACAGGCCACGTCGGGGTTTGGAGCTGTCCTCCACCTCCCGTTGGCCCCTTGGCCAGGAGGTCTGGCTCCTCTGTGCTCACCAAATAGTGGCCGGCTCTCAACTTTAGGGTCTATTTGGGAGTGACTGGGTCACGTGCTGGTCTGCTTGCTGCCAGTTCACCTGCCACCTCAAAAACCCATTTCCAAACCACGGGGTTGAGGGCCTCTGGTGGCCCAGACAGGTCTCCGGGTCCCAGCCCTCTCCCTATGACTCCTTGACTGTTGGGCATTTATGGTGAGCTGGGCACAGCCCAGGCCTTTTCCGCGTGCTGCCCTGTGGTGAACTTACCGCTCCACTCACAGTGACACCCTGGGCTTCGTGTCCTGCCCAGGTGCATGGACCTCGGGCTCAGGCTAGGGACCGCAGGTGGCAGGGAATGGTTGGCATCCACTAGCTGGGGAGAACCCCATGTGCTTTGTCTTACAAAAAATAGGACAACATTGGGTTGTTGGAAATGTCGTGACATATTTTTCTGTCTTTCTGTGCAAAAATGCATCATGACTTTTCTGACCCGATAGTTTGGAGGAGCCACTTCTTGTTCCTTCAGTCTTGACTCTGAGATGGGGTGTGGAGTACCCTTGCTTCCCAGAGCTGTGAGGCCTGAGAATCTGGGAGGAAGGCCTGTGGGGTGGGGGAGCCAGCACAGAATAGGGCATGGGGTGGAGGGGAGCCCACAGCCCGGCAGTGCCCGTGCCAGCCGTTGGTTCCTAAGTTGGGTCCCTCAGGCCCCATCAGACCGTCGTCACGCTGGGCTGCATCACTGGCAGAACTCCATGGAGCTCACACAGTGGAAAGGATGTGGCTTCAGGGTTAGAGGACTGGGTCTGAACCTAGCCGTGTGACCTTAGGCAAAGCGCCCCTCTTCTCAGGCCTCCATTTCCCAAAGGGACCTGAGCATCCTTAAGGCAGACCCGTGTGTGAGGCCAGTGAGCTCTGCTGCCCCGGGAAGTGTCTTGTGACTCCTGAAATCATTCTTGATCAAGGTCAGGCCTCTTATTTCATGTGTCATAAGCCCTTTGAGACTGAGAGGATGTATGGGCCCACCTGGATGCACCTTCACCGCCGCACCCCCTACCCCCAGGGGCACATTTTCTGGGCCTCTCTGATCTCAGGAACCCCAGGCCAAGAGGAGAGCCATCAGGCGTCCGGGCCCCCGTGCCACTTGGTGGGACGGTGTTTCCATGGCACCTGCTGCAGGTTGGTTGATGGAGCCTCAGGAAATGAAGAACCTGTCCCAGGACCCAAGTGTGGGGTTCCTAGAGGGCTCAGAGCCTGAGCCACAGCTGGGGCGCGTGGGAGAGGGCCTGGCCCTGTACTCTCGCTTCCCTTTCTAACCACGCAGAGAAGTTCCTCAGCCACACTTGAAACTGCTTGTCTCATTTGATTGTGAGAAAACAGACATCACTTTTACTGTGCTGCTGGTCCTTGAGTATCCAATTCAGCCACAGTAAGTAGAGTCTCGTTTTGGTGCAACTGTTGCTGTCTAGCTCCAGATCCTTTGCATCTTCCCAAACTGTGCAGAGCTGGGTTTTTCTTTTCTTTTTCTTTTTTGGAGAGATGTTTGCCATAGGGCAGGCGCACTTGCCAGAGAAACAGAGAGATGGAAAGTGAGAAGTCACCATCTCAGGGAATGGCCACACTGCAGTCCTTTTCCCATCCTCCTTTCAGATTTTGGGAATGCATGCACATGTCCCCAGGATGAGATTTTAAGTCTCCGAGACTGAGACTCGAACCCTAGTCTACTACATGGGAGTCCAGCGATGTAACCACTGTGTCATCTACTGGTCCCAGAGCTGGATTTTTTTTTTTTTTTTTGAGAGTTTCTTGCTATCGAGTGTGTGCACTCGCCAGAAAGACAGAGAGACAGAAAGTGAGAAATCACCACCACCCCCCCCCAGAGGGGATGGCCACACTGCAATCCTTTCTCTTCCATTCTCTTCTCGGGATCTTGGGCACGCATGCACACACACCTGGTGTGAGTTTAAGCCACTGGGTCCAGGACTTGAACCGCAGTCAACCACGTGGGAGTCCAGCGACATAGCCGTTATGCTAACTGCTGGTTTCCTGGATTTTTTATTTTATTTTTTTTTAAGAATTATTTAGGGGGTCAGGACCAGCAGTTGGTGTAATGGCTATGTCGCTAAACTTCCATGTGGTCGACTGCGGTTCAAGTCCTGGACCCAGTGGCTTAAACTCACACCAGGTGTGTGTGCATGCGTGCCCAAGATCCCGAGAAGAGAATGGAAGAGAAAGGATTGCAGTGTGGCCATCCCCTCTGGGGGGTGGTGGTGGTGATTTCTCACTTTCTGTCTCTCTGTCTTTCTGGCGAGTGCACACACTCGATAGCAAGAAACTCTCAAAAAAAAAAAAAAGGAATTATTTAGGGGTCAGCAGGTGGCATGGTGGTTAAAGGCATTGGACTCCCACATGGCTGACCACGGTTCAAGTCCCAGACTTGGTGGAGTTAATGCATGTCAAGCAGGTGGTGTGGTGGTTAAGGCACTGGACTCCCACATGGTGGGCTGCAATTTTAGTCTCAAACCTGGAGGCTTGAAAATCTCACCGGGTGTGTGTATGAGGGTGCCCAGAATCCAAGGAGCACAACAGAAAAGAAATTGTACCCCTTTGGGGGCGATTTATCACTTTCTCTGTCTCTGTCTCTCTCTGTGTCTCTGGCAAGTGCACTCACCATATAGCAAAAATTTCTGTAAGAACAAAACAAAAAAATTACAAAAAAGAATTATTTAGTTCATTTCATTTATTATTGTTATTATTATTTTAATTTTCTATAAGGCACATCCTCTCGCCAGAGAAAGTGAGAAGCCAAGCTGCCAGGTCCAGGACCTGAACCACAGTTTGCCATATGAGGGTCCAATATCTTAACCACTATGGCACTGCTGGCCCCAGAACTGGACTTTATGGGGGAGCCAATGAGTGTGTCCTTGCCTTCCTGCCCATGGGCAGCCCTGGCACTGAGTTCATTTCTGACGTCTGGTCCCATGGCTGCCAGGGTGTCTCAGCTCCCCGGGAGCCCACTTGCCGGCAACTTGTGAGCCTGCAGGGCCCCTGTCCCTCTAGCTCTGTCCAGTGCTGTCCTTCCAGGGTTTGTCAGCCTAAGCACTAGTGATGTTTTGGGTAACCATTCCTGGCCACGGGCTGCCCTGCGTGGTAGGGTGTTTGGTTATTGA